CCAGTCCCATCAAACGCACGAAAGAACTTTCTTCGGACGAAGTCCTGTCTTCGCAACAATTGAGGGACTATTTCCTTTTGACCAAGTTCGTTTTCGATGCACATTTTGGTATAAAATCCAAGTCTCGTCTCCAGTGACAAGCCTCTTTAGGAAAGGATTTCTTCCATGTCGTTGGAGAAGCAAATCGCACGTAGAGACGCGGTTCATAAGGCTGGTGTCAACACCTATCGACGGTGTGGAACTCCGAATCGATTCACATATCCCATCTCGATTAAATGCTTATGTACCGTTGTCCTGGGTATGTTAGTGGCATCAGCTATCTCGCGCACACTATATCGCGGATTTTCAGCGAGCATATCTTTGGTAAGGTCCGCATCCGTCGTTGTTGGACGGCCGCTGCGGTCTTCGTCTTTCAAATCGAAATTGCCAGCTCTAAATCTCTCAAACCAATTGCGGACTGTTCTAATAGTCGTAGAACCATTCACTGTAAACGGTACAAATCTCGTTTGCAGTGTCCTTTGCCCTATCACTTTTTTTAAAGCAATGAAGCATAACATGCCGCAAATGTGCTTCTTTTAGCTATCCATATCGAACGGCGCAGAAAAACTTTGATAAGGAACTTTGTCACCAACGAAACATACTCTACGAGAGCTCTGGGACGACTGAAACCGATACCCTAAATAGCCAAGAGATAAGCCTACGTGTTTATGCATATAAATACAATCAGTTAGAGTCATTCGCGTAGCGCGGCGCGGAAAGAACTTATGGGACACTTTTGGTTTTCGGACAGTTACGAGAAGCAACGTCGGGAATTGAAGTCACGGCGACGAATAATAGACCGCGGATTTTGCGCATTTACGACACAAATACAGAGCAGATCAGATCCGGAACAGTGGAAATATTTGAAGCACTTAAAGATACTGTTCTATCGCGTACAACTCCTTCATCTAGCGGTCGACGCAGACAATTTTTTATTTCGCACGACGATCCATAGTTCGGCGATGCAGTAATATCTCCCTGATTGACGCTCAGATCGTCCACAAAAATGGACAATTTGGAAAGAGGAGATACGATTATTCGAGCCCTGCAGCTACCGTTCTTACAGTTATTCGACAATACGAGACTATAAAAACGAACCGCAAGGCTCGGATAATCGTATCTCCTACTCCCAAATTGCCCATTCTTGTGTAGAACCGATCACGTCGATTCTCTAGACATTACCGTAGATCTATCGGAAAGCGTGGCACGCGTTTCGAATTAGGACAGTCGATATGATATATTTACGACGACTGACAACGAAAGGAGAAACACCGCCAGCGATACGGAAGCTCGTCGAAAATGCCCCGAGGCTCCGCGCGTAATTACATTTGCCGTCGGCCGCGGGCTATAATTCTATTTACGCCGGCTTCTTTATCGCAATGCTTATCCGTCATCAAACTGCACCTTGAGCATTCGTGCCCGCGCACCATTCGCTGCTGTTAAACCGCGCGCTTGTGTATGCACCGCAACCGGCACGCATACACACGCGCCCCGCGTGTATTCCCCCCGTCGCAACCCCCCGTGTCGAATCGCGTACACCGTCCGGAAACATTATTGCGAGAGCCCGCGTTTGCGCGATGCCGCAACGGGACTCCGTTCGAACGGAAAGCTCCTCGCGGTCGAAATCGGGGGAACTACGCTCAAGAGAACGTGATCCTTGACACTTATTCGAGCAACCAGTACCCTAGGCTAGCGAAGCTGGTTACCGCGGAGAGATCAATTGCTGCGACTCTGGTTTGTTTTCGGGCGATTTCTTTGTTCGTTTGTTTCCTTTGCTTTTCAACCCTGTCCAGTTGCTGTGCCTTTCGTTCGTTTTCGGGCGTAATTAACTATTTGTCTAACTATTTGTCGAATAAGAAATATTACATGTTTCTATTTCGTTTATTATTTTGTTTCGTTTATGTTTAGAGAAGTTGAGTAGTCAATTCAAATTACTCGATATACGAATATGACGAGCGATGAAAGTATTAGAGTGTCCCATAAGTTCTTTCCTTTTTTTCTGATGCGAAGTGATCACACGATATTTGTTGTAATATTAAATTTTTCTTTTTCGTTTATTATTTTGTTTCGTTTATGTTTAGAGAAGATAAGCAGTCAATTCAAATTACTCGGCATACGAACTGTCTCTTATACACATCTAGATGTGTATAAGAGACAGGTATTAGAGTGTCCCATAAGTTCTTTCCTTTTTTTCTGATGCGAAGTGATCACACGATATTTGTTGTAATATTAAATTTTTCTTTTTCGTTTATTATTTTGTTTCGTTTATGTTTAGAGAAGATAAGCAGTCAATTCAAATTACTCGGCATACGAACTGTCTCTTATACACATCTAGATGTGTATAAGAGACAGGTATTAGAGTGTCCCATAAGTTCTTTCCTTTTTTTCTGATGCGAAGTGATCACACGATATTTGTTGTAATATTAAATTTTTCTTTTTCGTTTATTATTTTGTTTCGTTTATGTTTAGAGAAGATAAGCAGTCAATTCAAATTACTCGGCATACGAACTGTCTCTTATACACATCTAGATGTGTATAAGAGACAGGTATTAGAGTGTCCCATAAGTTCTTTCCTTTTTTTCTGATGCGAAGTGATCACACGATATTTGTTGTAATATTAAATTTTTCTTTTTCGTTTATTATTTTGTTTCGTTTATGTTTAGAGAAGATAAGCAGTCAATTCAAATTACTCGGCATACGAACTGTCTCTTATACACATCTAGATGTGTATAAGAGACAGGTATTAGAGTGTCCCATAAGTTCTTTCCTTTTTTTCTGATGCGAAGTGATCACACGATATTTGTTGTAATATTAAATTTTTCTTTTTCGTTTATTATTTTGTTTCGTTTATGTTTAGAGAAGATAAGCAGTCAATTCAAATTACTCGGCATACGAACTGTCTCTTATACACATCTAGATGTGTATAAGAGACAGGTATTAGAGTGTCCCATAAGTTCTTTCCTTTTTTTCTGATGCGAAGTGATCACACGATATTTGTTGTAATATTAAATTTTTCTTTTTCGTTTATTATTTTGTTTCGTTTATGTTTAGAGAAGATAAGCAGTCAATTCAAATTACTCGGCATACGAACTGTCTCTTATACACATCTAGATGTGTATAAGAGACAGGTATTAGAGTGTCCCATAAGTTCTTTCCTTTTTTTCTGATGCGAAGTGATCACACGATATTTGTTGTAATATTAAATTTTTCTTTTTCGTTTATTATTTTGTTTCGTTTATGTTTAGAGAAGATAAGCAGTCAATTCAAATTACTCGGCATACGAACTGTCTCTTATACACATCTAGATGTGTATAAGAGACAGGTATTAGAGTGTCCCATAAGTTCTTTCCTTTTTTTCTGATGCGAAGTGATCACACGATATTTGTTGTAATATTAAATTTTTCTTTTTCGTTTATTATTTTGTTTCGTTTATGTTTAGAGAAGATAAGCAGTCAATTCAAATTACTCGGCATACGAACTGTCTCTTATACACATCTAGATGTGTATAAGAGACAGGTATTAGAGTGTCCCATAAGTTCTTTCCTTTTTTTCTGATGCGAAGTGATCACACGATATTTGTTGTAATATTAAATTTTTCTTTTTCGTTTATTATTTTGTTTCGTTTATGTTTAGAGAAGATAAGCAGTCAATTCAAATTACTCGGCATACGAACTGTCTCTTATACACATCTAGATGTGTATAAGAGACAGGTATTAGAGTGTCCCATAAGTTCTTTCCTTTTTTTCTGATGCGAAGTGATCACACGATATTTGTTGTAATATTAAATTTTTCTATTCCGTTTATTACTACGTTTCGTTTATTTTCGGAGAAGGTAACGCAATATCTTTTATTCGATAAATACAGATAAAGCGAACGGTATGCCCGAAAACAAATCGAAGGCACAGCGATTGGCCAGCTCGCATTAACCGGCTGCGCCGTCATCCTGTGTTTCTTTGAACAGTTTTGTTTCAGTTCGTTCGAAAATAATAAAATCGCTCTCGAAGAAGTCGCTTCTACGTTTCGGTTGCTCGAGGGAAGAACTCGTTCCCATGGATTATGGTTCATCATGACGCGGATCCTCGCGCTATGCATCATCGAAGCTGTTCTCCCTGCGCTGGCCATTCGAAGCGACGTGCTTGCGCCCGAGAGCAAATCTTGGATCTCTGACGAGGACTTTCAGATTATGGTCGAACTGTCGTTCCCCTTCTCTGGGTGCTGCAACGTTTTCTTTAATGGTTGGTAGGAGTGTATCCTTTTGTGAATTCAGCAAAATATGAATTAAAGTCTTGCGGGGTGATCTTCTGGAGATTTTTCTAGGCGGTAAAAATTGAAGAAAACGTTTGCGACAATCGTTGCTCGAATTTGTCGAAATCCTTGGATGTGCACGATTAATATCAACAATTCTACGGCGACGTCATTCTTGGCGATCATCGTCATTCTTCTTATCGGATAGAAAAAAGTGTCGACTCTTCTTAACCCTTTGCACTCGAAGCCATTTTTAACTTTGAACCCAATATATGTAATTCTTCTGACCTACAGTATTCCCATTTTACATGATTCATTGCATTTTATGCATATGAAATTGAATTTTGTGTTTTATATAGCGATTGCACTTTTAACAGTTTTTTTTTTAAGGATAAACAAATATCGAAGTGTAAAAATTATTTTGGTTACGATTTTTAAGGCTGCTCCAGAGTCAACGCTCGAGTGCGAAGGGTTGATATAGACTAGCGCAAAGATTAAATTAATTACAAATTAGCGCGAATCACGTTTCACTTGAAATTGTTCTTTCTAAAATCCTCCCTAATTTTCCATCAGCTCGTAAACCAAAATGGACAATTTGGGAAGCCTTGCACTTCGTTTTTATAATTGTTGTTACAATCGGCAGCTATGAAAATGAACCTCGAGGCACGAATAATCGCATCTCCTCTTCCCAGATTGTTCATTTTTGTTTGCCGGTTGAAGGAAAATCGGGGAGAATTTCACCGTAAATGTTTCTCCGGTCAGCCAAATAATTTTTCCTATCGGTAGCGCGAGGAGTTTCGAAGCTTCGCCGACGCTTATTGATTCAAGAATTTTCTTCAGCCCCGCTCGGAGACGCGGTCGCACTGTTCAGTCAATTCAGGAGTGTCTATCCGTACGAGTACCTCTTGAGGCGAAGCACCTACGAATGCGACGGATACTTCTTGCTGGGATCGAGCGACGACGAAATCCTGAGACTGATCGAGAAGTATGACAACGGATAAAACGGCGGATCCACCGTAATTTAATCGATCGTTTCCCCCCCGCCTCCCGCGTAGAATACCGTCGCTGACATGGAAAACGGAGATCCTTGTCGTAGTGAACAACCAGACTTCCGACGATTCCGCCATCCTCGAGGACTCCGTATACGAAACGGCGAACGTGAACGTCGTCTCTGTTTCGGGGATTTGGAAGCTGGCTGAGAACTATTTGAAGCCGCGACTGTTCGCCAAAATTGACAGGTACGCGCCGGATAGGTGGACCAGTTTTCAGGAGACTTCTTTCGAGACGGACGTCGTTGTACGAGTTTTTCGAAAATCAACACCCTTTGCACTCGAAGCCGAATTACCGGCAAATTTCAAACAGTTCTCCCGACCCACGGTTTTTCCATTTCATATAAATATAAACAAATATAACAATATAAACAAATTTTCCTCCTGTGCAAAGGGTTAAACGTTCTAATTTTCTCCGCTGCTGATGTTCAATTGTCGATACAATGCTTTGGCAATATGGTTCGTTGGTGACATACAAACATGTTTCTACACCTTTTAACCCTTTGCACTCGAAGCCCAAATCGACGCAAAATTTAAAACAGTTCTCCCGACCCACGGTTTTTTCCATTTTATATATATTTTGCGACTCATGCAACAGTTACGCTTTCAACGGTTCTTTGAATATAAACAAATTTTATTCATAAAATTATTTTGAAACGCGACATAACAATTGTTAATGGCGCCTCGGAGTCGCCACTCGAGTGCAAAAGGTTAAAACGCAATAACTATTTTAAAACCGAACTTGAATGACTTGAATTTTTTTTTAGATGATAGAGTGACGATGATTAAGTAGACGATGACTGTAATGCTTTTTTTTTAAATTTTGCTATTATTTGGAATGACAAAACACAAATAAAAATCTCTCGTTTTACAACTATTTTATCTCTTTTATCGAAAATGGTTCACGTTGATATGAGTTACAACAAATTAAAGATCGCAAATATCACAGTTTTATCGCAAAAGTTGTAAGAAATCTGCAGTTTTTATAGGCTCGGATAAAAAAGTAAAAGAAACGAGTGTTTTTAACTTTCATTAATAGTAAAATTAAAAAAATTAAATTAGTCATTCCGAGTAATAGTAAAATTTAAAAAAAGAAGCTTTTTAGCCATCGTCTAGTATATAAACTAGTCCTTCTATCATCTAAAAAAAGATTCAAGTTATTTAGTTCGGTTTCGAAAAATTCATTGAAAAATTTTAAAAGGTGTAACGATTACTTTCGTAAACCACTGTGTATATTCAGCATCGTATTGATGTGTAACTGCTACTACTATGATCCGGTTATGATACAAGTGCTGACTAATATACTAAATTAATTCAACGAGATAAGCAATATAGATAAGCATCGTAGATAAGTGCACTATATTACATATGTTTTTGAACATAAATATGCAAAACATATGCAAATAATTTCAAAGATATATGTTTTGTGTATTTATGTTTAAAAATATATGCAGCAATATACTGTATATATATTTTTAAACAGAAATACACAAAACATATATCTTCGATATATCTATGAAAAAAATATATCTTTGAAGTCGCCTAATCGTGACACCTAAATTCTGCCCAGGTCTCATTGGTCCACTTATATTGTAAAAAAGCATGCAAATGCGAAAACATCCGCGGACTGATAGCGACGTAAAATGATTTTCTGGACAAACAGGTACGAAGAAATGGGGCACAACTACGAGCACTTCAATTTTCACGGCAGACAGTTGCGGATCGCCACCATCCATCGACCACCGATGACGATTTGGAAACATCCTCTGAAGAGGATCATCGACAGCCGAGAAAAGGACGTTTACCTAACGGACCGCGGTAAATATCGTCTCCTTTAATCACGTCGAACCGTTTAATCGATCATGAAATTAGGATTCGATGGCATCGAAGTGCAGCTGTTTCTGATCGTCGCGGAGAAATTGAACTTCACTTGGACCGCGAGGAAGCTGGAAGGGAACCTCATGCAAGTATCGCGCCGTTGACGTTATTATAATAACTAGACCGCGGTATCTTTATGCAAAATAAAAATTGCCCGTATTAATAGCAAGACGAACGAACCAAGTGTACAATTTTATTCGTTTTCGTAATCATTTTAATGAGCTGAACATTCAGGAACGCGAACGTTCTTCGTTTCCTTTAATCTTTTCGCTGTTTCCGATTTCACCCACTCATTTTTACCATAAATGCATAAAATCCGCAGTCCAACGATGCGGATCTTTATGCAAAATAAAAATTGCCTGCATCGATTTTACGAAACAAAAGTTACAGAAATTCTCGCTAATCGACGCTCTGATTTTACGCAAAAATAGACAATCTGGGAAGAGAAGATACGATTTTAGTTTATCAGTAGTTTATTCATAGTTGTTGACAATCGATAACTATAAAAACGAGCCGCAAACCTCATCCAAAATTGTTCTCTTTTGTGTACAATCTGAGCGTCAATTAGGGAGAATTAACCGTATACAGAGAAGTATAGTAAAGTCTCCCTAATCGACGCTCAGCTTGGAAACAAAAATGGACACTTTGGAAAGAAGAAATACGATTATTCGAACCTCGCGACTCGGTTTTATAGCCGCCGATCGTCGACAACTATAAAAACGAGCCGCGAGGCTCGAATAATCGCGTCTCCTCTTTCCAAATTGTCCAGTTCTGTTTACACGTCGAGTGACAATTGGGGAGAATTTACTGTATTTCTCCCTCCAATATTTTCGACGCATGAAAAATAGTGCGACAAGATTCTGAAATTCTTCTAACGACTTAACCGTTTTAGATTCCACTCGCTCATTCTTGCTTAAAATCCGCATAAAATCCGCGGTCTAATAATTAATCATGGTCGTCAAGTTGAGCTTTTCGCAGATACGGAGAAGTGATCAACGGCTCGTGGGAAGGTGGCATAATAGGGATGCTCTACAAAAATCAAGTGAGTTCGATCGATGGATTCGGTCCTCCACTGTTCCGTCTATGAATATAGTAATGTCTCCCTAACTGGCGCTCAGATTGTGCACAAAAATGGACAATTTGGGAAGTTGAGATACGATTGTTCGAGCCTCGCAGCTCGTTTTTGACCTTGACATAATCTCGCGGCTCGTTTTTATAGTTGTCGACGATCGGCGGCTATAAAACCGAGTCGCGAGGTTCGAATAATCGTATTTCTTCTTTCCAAATTGTCCATTTTTGTGGACAATCTGAGCGTCAATTACAGAGACTTCACTATACTTCTCTGTATACAGTGAATTCTCCCTAATTGACGCTCCGATTGTACGCAAAAAAGAACAATTTGGGAAGAGGAGATATAACTATTCGAGCCTCGCAGCTCGTTTTTTATAGTTGTTGATTAATTCACGACTACAGAAATGAACCGCAAGGCTCGAAAAAGGCCCAAATTGTCCATTTTCGTGGACAATCCGAGCGTCAGCTGGACAATTTGGAGAGAAGGAGATACGATTATTCGAGTCTCGCGGTTCGTTTTTATAGTTACGAATTGTCAACAATTATAAAAACCTTATATAAGCCTTGCGGCTCGAATAATCTTATCTGCTCTTCCCAAATTGTCCATTTTCGTGGACAATCCGAGCGTCAACTGGACAATTTGGGGAGAAGGAGATACGATTATTCGAGTCTCGCGGCTCGTTTTTATAGTTACGAATTGTCAACAATTATAAAAACCTTATATAAGCCTTGCGGCTCGAATAATCTTATCTGCTCTTCCTAAATTGTCCATTTTCGTGGACAATCTGAGCGTCAATTAGAGAGACATTGCTGTACTTCTTATCTTCAGGCGGACATCGCTATCGGTAGCATCATGGTCACCCAGACGCAGAATCAATACATCCCGCTGTCCCAACCATTGTGCAATATGCACGTGCGTCTCATGGTGCCTCGTCCGCGTCGCGTGACCAGCTTCTGGGCGATCCTGAAACCGTTCTCGAAAGAGGTCTGGTACCTGCTGATCCTGGCGATCGTCCTGCTCAGCTCGTACACGTGCGCTCGCGCCTGGATCGTCCCGAAATTCCCGAAACGTAAGTCCGCGATATCGATTCGTCGCGGTGTACCAATCGCGTGTCGAACCGTATCTTTTTCCGATCCGCTGATTGTAGAAAATTCGATGTTTCCCGCTTCTGATTAATTCATATTAAAATGGCCATTACGCAGTTTCCGATAATAGTGGAACACGAATCGAACCGAGCGGCTCGGTTCAGCCGATGTTGACTCGCGCACGCGAAATTCTATCGATTTCTGCCGTCCTTCCTCCGTTTCTCAGCATGCTTGACAAATTTTCATTCGATCCGATATTTATTCGACATCGTCGAATAAAATTTTATTCGATACTCTTTCATCTCCCGTGCGTCGTTCGAATAAAATTTCGCCCCACTCTCTCTCTCTCTCTCTCTCTCTCACTCTCTTTCTATGATAGATGGACGGCCGTGGTACCAATAATTAATAATTATCACCAAAATAACTCGAACAATAATAAAGTTTTCGAACCGACGTGTTTACTGCAGTTTGTGTATGTACATGTCGCCGAATAGAATCGGGTACGGATTTTTCAATCCGACAGTTTTCGCGTAAAAAAGCTTTGTTTATCATCGAGAAAATTAGTTGGCAAAATAATTCGCGCGTACATTCGAATCAGCGTACAAAAAATCCTGTCGAACTGCACATTTTCGAAATTTCATCCCGAAGATTACCGTTAGTTAGTCGATCTTCGTCCGAATGCCACCCCTTAATTTTTAATAAAGAATCTACAGCTTGGCGACGAACGCAATTTTACCGACGTTTGCGTGCGGATAAATTCCTCGGCGAACTTCCTTTTGCCGGGTGGCTTGCACGGTTCGTCCCCGAGGTAACGATCCTGTCAAAACGTCGGAAAAATCGCGGCGGAAAGCGCGGCGGTGCAATAGTTTCCGATATACGAACGATGATATGCGCGGCGATCGCGTTAATTGGCCGGGCTAATCCGTATTCTTCAGGTTTCCGGAACTACCTAATTACCGTGACCGAGCTGATCGGTTGTTTGCTGAGCAGTTCCGTGCCGAAAACTGTTGGGAACAACAAACTCCAGATACTTCTCTGGCAGACCGCGGGATGGTTAATAATTACCGCTTATTGCAGCAGCCTAGCAGCCAGACTGGCAACTTCGGAATACGAGAGCAGGTAATAGCCGGAATACGAAAGCTCGGCGGGGCCGAGCCTGCTTTTGCGAACGGTATATATATACATATAAAAGCGAGACGCTGGGCTTGGTTGATGCGTTTCCAGAATCGATACCATCGAACAGTTCCTCGCGACGAATCTGTCATGGGCGAATATGGGTCAGACACCGCCGTTCGAGGACTACATCGATCCCTCGGTATGTCCAGCGACGATTAACCAGCTAACAGTGTTCGACGAGTACACTCGTCACGGAGAAGCGGCAGTATTTTGTGTCGGGACGAGTATACTCGTCGCGCGTAAAAAGCAGCGACCATTAACTATTTAAATTGTAATTTTAGTGGAAACAAAAATATATTCTCAAATTCCAAGGTTATGTCAATTAACCAGTTAACTGTGCTTGACGAGTACACTCGTTACAGAGAAGCGGCAGTATTTTGTGTCGGGACGAGTATACTCGTCGCGCGTAAAAAGCAGCGACCATTAGCTATTTGAATTGTAATTTTAGTGAAAACAAAAATATATTCTCAAATTCCAAGGTTATGTCAATTAACCAGCTAACAGTGTTCGACGAGTACACTCGTCACGGAGAAGCGGCAGTATTTTGTGTCGGGACGAGTATACTCGTCGCGCGTAAAAAGCAGCGACCATTAGCTATTTGAATTGTAATTTTAGTGAAAACAAAAATATATTCTCAAATTCCAAGGTTATGTCAATTAACCAGTTAACTGTGTTCGACTAGTACACTCGTCACGGAGAAGCGGCAGTATTTTGTGTCGGGACGAGTGTACTCGTCGCGCGTAAAAAGCAGCGACCATTGGCTATTTGAATTGTAATTTTAGTGGAAACAGAAACGTATTCTCAAATTTCAAGATGTTTAGAATATTTTAGGGTCAGGCTAGAGAGAGAGAATAAAGTAAACAAATAAAAAATATTAACCCTTAGCTTTTAATTAACACTTTAAATCCAAGATAGCTTTTCCTGACCTACGCTGTTTCTATTTTATAGGACTTAGTGCAGTTTATGCACATCAAATCGAGTCTTGCAACTTATAGAGCAGGTATTCTTGTAACACTCTTTTCGGTATAAACAAACATGATAACGTAAAAATTATTTTGTAACTAGAAATCAGACATCGATTTTCGCAGGATCCGTATTCGATGCGGTATAAACAAACATGATAACGTAAAAATTATTTTGTAACTAGAAATCAGACATCGATTTTCGCAGGATCCATATTCGATGCAATTGCCGAGTAGGTACCGTCACGTTGACAGTTTCAAGGAATGGACGAAGCTCACTGTACAAACGGATTTAGTTGTTCCCGGGAAGATGATCGGATCGTGTTTCTTTCCGGAAAACTACGTGCGGAATAGCGCTTTGCAGGTATGCCACATCGATCGCCAAATCTCGACGGATACGTGAAAGTTTGATTCCGCGTGCCTCCATGATTTTCCTCCTTATATTTTCGACACAGTGGAACTTCGATTATCCGAATTTGGAATTGAAATTATTAAAGTTAAATTCGTTTTAATTTCGATAAATTATTGATTCAATAATACAGGGTGTCCCAAAAATGTCTCGCAATCCGGAAATGGCGGGTTCCTCGGATCATTTGAAGCAACTTCTTCCTTTACAAAAATTTTCTCCGAGCCACCGTTAACGAGTTATTAACGAAAAACAGTGACCAATCAGAGGCGAGATCAGTTTGCCGCGAGGTGGCCGAGCCAACGGCGCCAGCGGTCGAGCGATCGAATCCCAGCTTAGCTGGCGCGAGACGGCCGAGCCAACGGCGCCAGCGGTCGAGGCGGTCGAATCCCAGCTCAGCGGGCGCGAGCCGGCCGAGCCAACGGCGCCAGCGGTCGAGGCGGTCGAAGCCCAGCTCAGCTGGCGCGTGGCGACCGAGCCAATGAGCGGAACTGGGCTTCGTGCGCTGGTTGACTGGGCCGCCTCGCGTCAGCCGTACTCGATTCTTATTGGTCACTGTTTTTCGTTAATAACTCGTTAACGGTGCCTCGGAGAAAATTTTTGTAAAGGAAAAAGTTCCTTCAAGTGACCTGAGGAACCCGTCACTTTCGGATTGCGAGACATTTTTGGGACAAAAATTCGAGGTCCATCCTTATTACTTGGAATAATAAAAAATCTGAATAATAAAGATCGAGGAAGATCCGATTCGGTTAATCGAGGCTCTACTGTATTTATTTGTATATTTCTTCGATCCGCGGAGATGCAGCCGATCTCTTGCGTCCGTATAATGTTAGATAAGCGACTGTTGAGTAAACACGGGTATCGTTATTTTCAATTGATTACGCATGAATTAATTATCATTTCGATGATAACAGAATTACAGACTCATGAAAACACCGATTGGACGTTTCTACGCAGCCTTCGGCCTGCAGCAGTGGCTCCTGACACCTGTGAACAGGGTACAATTATTGTTATGCTCATTTCTGTGCAACAATTTTTGCCGAATTTATTTTGCGGTCGCTAGACTGCGGATACTTGTGCAAATGTTGATTTTTGTAGAACGTACATAGACTGACGGGATCCGTCTTGATAGTGTTTTCTCTCTCCTCTGCAGATAATATTGTCGCTAAAGGAAACTAGTATAGTCGACTGGCATTTGAACGACGTCACTCGGAGATACGATAGTCAGAACCTCCGCGAGGTTCTCGTCGAACATGACGGATACGAAGGTGATGTCCAGGTCCTCGGACTGATGCCACTAGCGGCCGGGTTCTTGCTGTTGTTTCTCGGATCTTCGGCAGCGGTGTTCGTATTTTATATGGAGCTGAAACAGGCGGCGAAGTCGGCCTCGATCCGCCATATTCTGCGAGCCGTCGGCGACAACCGTAAACGCGAGAAAACGAATCTTGGAGAACTACGCAGACACTCGAAACTTGACGATTTCGAAAGACTCCATTCTCGATTTCAATCAATCGCGCGTCGATCCGCTCGGTAAATTGCGGTGAAAATAGATCTTCTGTCGAATCGAACTGCGAATCTCCCTCGTTTATGGTACTTTCTTTGTTTATCCCCTGAAGCTTCGTCTATCTTCTAACGTCGCGAAGTCGTCGGGGATTGTGCGTTTAATTACGCGTTTATTAATATATATTAATTATGCGTTTCCGGATCTTTGTGCGAAATGAACGTCGTTCGCACTGATCGCAAAATGCAGGAGTTCAATAAACATTTTAACGAGTTGAACATAATACGATAGCGTTCTTAAATTCTTTAAATGACTTGATTGTTTGGAATTTGAACTAATGATTTTTGTCAAGGTTATATCAAGATTATGATCGCGCGTCGATCCGCTCGGTAAATTGCGGTGAAAATAGATCTTCTGTCGAATCGAACTGCGAATCTCGCGCGTTTATGGTATTTTTTTGTTTATCTCCTGAAGCTTCGTCTATCTTCTAACATAATAAAAATTCGTAAAAATTCGTAATAATAATTGCGAAGTCGTCGGGGATTGTGCGTTTAATTATTACGCGTTCACGCGTTTCCAGATCTTTGTGCAAAATAAACGTCGATCGCACTGATTGCAAAATGCAGGAGTTCAACAAACACTTGAACGAGTTGAACATAATACGATAGCGTCTTTATATTCTTTGAATGACTCGATTGCTTGGAATGTATACTAATGATTTTTGTCACAAGTGCGTGAAATCCGCGGTATAATTAATTACGCGCTTTCTCCTAGGCTAATGTCTTCTCCATACACTTGGGAAAGGATCCCCTAGAATTAGTCGTCTAGCCGCCATGATGCGTCACACTCGTTAGCCGTACCCCCTCTCCCGTAGTGCCTGAGCTAGAACTTGGTCAGGTATGCTGAGACACTGCGCTCTTCATTATCATAGTGTACAGGCGGATACCTGTTTGGCGGATACAGTTCTTCGAGCTGCGGATTGTTTCAGTTGAAGTGCGCGCGTCGTTTGGAAATTATTCATCTACGGCCGATAATATATCGTACGACACGTGTACGCCGAAGATTAAGTTATCTCTAAAAATGTTTACGACGTTTAAAGGAACTTGTTCGACAAACAGAAGATAGTCCATTTGCGAACGTTTAGCATTGCGATAAATTATCTCCAATTTTCCTTCGGTTTCTAAACAAAACTGGACAATTTATACTATTTATACTATTTATACTATTTATTTATACTATTTATAATTTTACTGGAGATACGATTACAGTAATTTCTCTCTAATTCGCGCTCAGATTGCGCACAAAAATAGACAATTTGATAGACAATAGAAGACAATAAAAATTGAAATAAAAATAAAATAAAAATAAAAATTTAAAAGACAATAAAAATAGGCGATTAGTTACCGATCGTCAACAATTAGAAAAACGAGACGCAAGGCCCGAATAATCGTATCTCTGTCATCCCAAATTGTCCATTTTTCTGCGCAATCTGAGCGCAGAGAGGAGATTATTATTAGATTAGATTATTATAATTAGAGAGAAATTACTGTATTCGAGCCTCGCGGTTTATTCTTATAATTGCCGATTGTTAACAATTATAAAAACGAGGTGCGAGGCTGTCGTATCTACTCCCCCCGAATTGTCCATTTTTGTTTACAAGCTGAAGGAAAATTAAAGAAAATTTACTGTATTTCAATGTTAAACCGCGATCGCAGACTTCGCTTTGTAAACCGAAAGAAATACAATGATATTCGTTATTTTGCGAGCTCGTCAAAACGAATTAATCATTCGTCCGCGATTGCAGATTACTCTGATCTACGGTCGATAATATATCGATAATATGTAATCTCTAAAAATGTTTTCGACGCGTACAGTTTGCTTGTTCGGCAAACAGAAGACAGCCCATTTGCGAACGTTTAGCAATATTTGTATGTTAGAACAAGATCGCAGTCTTCGCTTCGCAAACGAAAGAACTATAACCCTTATCGGACGTCAGATATTCAGGTCTAATGTGTGTCACGTAGAACGCGACGTACGTTCGATAAGGAATGATGGTTCACTCCGTTATCCGAACATTTATTTTTACAATATTCTGCTGCCGAAACGTTCTATTATCGGTATAAATGTACAAATGTTATCCGTTGCAAAGGTTCGATTATTCAGATACATTATCGTCTAGCACGGAACTTGAATAAAACTGCTGGATAATAGAATGTTTCGGTGTCAGGATAATACAAAAATAAACGTTCGGATAAGAGGGACTCTGTTCGCTATTTCGCGAAGCTGCCGAAACGAACGATAATTCGCTGATTAATGATCGCCGATTGCGACAAAGTGATCACCGATTTATTCCAGTAAAGATTAATTTCACACGATCGCCTCGATTAACGTTATCCTAATCAATTCGATATATGTAATCAGATAATAATCAATCACTGGGACGAGCTCTGCGATTTCGCGAGAACTTCAGCTGGTAAGCTGAAAAATTGTCCGCCGCGCGGGTACACACGTGCCGTGTTACAGCTGAATGTTCCACAATTTTTGGCCTTTTACCTCGGGGCACGCAGCCAATCGTCTCTGCTAGAAAGATCACATGATACTGCGAACCTGTTCATCGGCGATGGAAGACTTCTGACGGAGCAACTTCCTTGATCGGCACACACGAATCAGTTTCGCCGCGAGTACTGCTGCGAGCGCAGATTCTCCTCGCTGCAACCGTAGCCTCTCGACGCGCTATAGTTCCCCGTTGCATCGTAGATACATGACGCACTATAGTCACCCGTTGCGCTGCAGTTTCTGTGTGTGCTGTGAAACGGTTCAACCTTGTGCGCCACTTATTATCAGTTGAATTCTGCGATTCTGGTGCACTCGATCTACGGTGGTCCTCCCGGCACGTGTAAGCAGGAAGAGAGAAAGGTGAAACGGAAATCATCGTCGTTGCTGGATAATCGACGAAACGTAATAATAGATGCTGCAACAACGACGATGATGATGATGACCTTTGCTTGTGGGCGTACGTCGCGTGCAACGTTGCATGACGTTTGCAATTTGTTTGGATAGCCGTGGCAGTAGAATCGTGGTCCGCTTCTGTTGTTCCACGTGAAACCGATTACAATGCTACGGGTCTGCTAAACACGCTGCGACTATTTACCGAACGATTTCTCGTTTCGCATTGACAGCGATAGTTCAAAGTTCAAAGTCGCCGAAACCGGCAAAGAAGTGTTTACGGTTCTAATTAACCGGGGAATTTTTGTCCCATTAAACAAATTTTTGTGCCATTAAACATTATTTTAATTGTCGTTTCATCGACTGGTCTCTCCTGCCACGTGGCTTAAGTAATTGCCAGGTTAATTGATCGTTCGTCGCGTTTGTTGCAGCGCTCGCGTTACCGTGTGAATCATGAAACAGGAACAACACATCGACGATGGTGAGCGACGTTCGTTCGACGTTTCTAAACATTGTTTCCTTGTTTATCCGTTCGTTGTTTTCCCGACAGCTCAACCGGCCTCGGTGGAGGAACACTTCAAAATGATCATGGAGGATAGATCCACCATCGATCCGGAATACGTCGAGGTCACGCCGAAGGATCTACCGTTCTGGTTCGACGAGAAGCTGTTCAGGAAGTGAGTTAGCGAAAAATATCATCGGATGAGGCTGCTAAAAATATCCTAATCGAACTGCAGTAATGTCTCCCTAATTGACGCTCGGATTGTGCACAAAGATGGACTATTTGGGAAGAGGAGACACGATTATTCGAGTCTTGCGCCACGTTTTTATATAGTTGTTGAGAATCGGTAATTATAAAGACGAGGCGCAAGACTCAAATTAATCGTATCTCCTCTTCCCAAATTGTCCATTTCTGTGGCTCGTTTTTTATGGTTATCGATTGTCAAAAATTATAATATTATAATATAAGC